CTGGCCACCAGTTGCGGGCGCCGGCGCCGGCGCCGGCTCGCTGGCGGCCTGAAGCGTGCGGGCCAGGATGCGCTTGCGCTCGGCGCGGCGGGCCTCCAGCTCGCGCACATACTCGTCTTGGCTCACCCGCGATGAGCCGAGCTCGCTAAACGAGGCCATTGAGAAGCGCGAGGTGTCGGCAAGCGGTGCCGGCGCATCCGGCTCGGTTGCTGTAGTACCGGCACGAGGCTCGGGAAGGCCCGTGGACCGCGGTGGCGTGGCAGCCGGTGCCAGCTCTGCAAACGACGCCGAGTCTGCGAGCGGCGGAAAGTCGGTGGCGGCGGCGTGGGCCTCGGCCAGCTGCCGCTTCAGCGCCTCTTTGTGCTTCTCCAGCCGCGCATAGAGCGTGTCGTGCTCCTCCTTGCGCCGGCGGCGATTGGCCCGGATGGAGGCCAGGATGGCGTCGACCTCGTCAGCGTCGACGACAGAGAGCGCTTCGTCATGGGTCCGCACCGGAGCCGGAACCACCGGCGAGAGCTCTCTCCTCCTCCTCCCGCTCTCGTCCTGGCCCTGACTCGCGTTCCGTCCGCCATGCATCTGTCCGCCATCATGTGTCGCCAAGGCCGACGTCGAGAGTGCCCCATCGCCCGCGCCGGACAGCAGGCTCCTCCCGTCGTGCTGACCATGGCCAGCAGACCGGTCCACCTTGCCTCCCAGCGAGTTGTCGTCGTCTGGCAGCGGCAATTCCAGCGAATGGGATTTTCCCCCGACTCCGTCTTGCCGAGCAGCATCAGACCACCGGTGACCGAGTCGGCTCGTCTGGTGAGGAGCAAGCCGTGCCGCACCAAGCGAGTTGTGTGAGTCGGCGACGTTGTGGCCGACGCCCTCCTGGCCGTCACCACTGCTAGAGGCTGCCGCCATGTTGCGGCGACGTCGAGCCCGTCCTCTTGCACGCATACGTGCTACTTCTTCATGCAAATCATCGCCTCCAAACCTCTGTCCACCCTGCCCGGCCATGTCTGCTCTCTGGCCCGTCCGCCCAGCCCAGCCCAGCCCAGTGAGGTCGGTGGCCGTTGGCGGCCAATGGCCGAATGGCTCGTCGGCGCGATTTTTGACCTTAATGTGAAGCAAGGGCATGGCAGGGATTGGTCAGAGTGGGCTATGGAGACAGCACGGAGAGGGTGGGTGGGAGGGAGGATAGTGCGGGGATGGGGAGGATGGGGAGGGGGGGAGGGGGCGAGAAGGAGAAGATGGAGGGAAAGGAAGAGGGGGGGGAGAGGGATAAAGGGTGATGAGGACGCACAAAGATCAGAGATCCAAATTCAGACATGCAATCAGATGAACATGCTCCTCACACTCTCAAGCTGACGCACACCAAACACACACACACACACACACACACACACACACACACATACATACATACATACACACATACATACATACTTACACACATAACATCACATCACATCATATCACACTTCACACTACCTGCCCAACTTACTCAAGGATGCGCCTGATGCCCTTCCCCAAAGCTAACCCTAACGCTAACCCTAACCCTAACACACACACAACAACACATCGATGACCCCTACCCACAAACGGCACACTTTCCCCTCTCACACCGAAACGGAACACTCCTCGCAGCCCAATCGCTCTCGGCGGCCAACCCCCCCTCCCCCCCCCCCCCTCCCGGAGCCACACACCAAGCGCATACTTTCGTCCACCCGGGAGAGTATGGGCAAGCGGTACATCTGCTGGTCGTATGAGGTTCTTCATGAGCTCGGCTCGGGTCAGTTTGCCAAGGTCTACCGAGCGCGACACATGGAGACGGGCGAGCTGGTGGCCATGAAGAAGCTGTCGATAAAGTCGATGAGTTCGACGGCGGCACGGAATTTGGAATCGGAAATTGCTGTCCTCAAGCTCATCACCGCCAATCCTCATCCATGTCTGATTGCTCTCATTGATCTCCGTAGGCGCGCCGGCAAGGTCTACATGTTCCTCGAGCTGGCAGACGGAGGCGAGCTGGCCGATGAGATGGCAAAGTACAAGGGCGTGGGCTTTGCAGAGCCACGAGTCCGCTGGTTTGCTCAGCAAATTGTCGACGGTCTTCGCTACCTGCACTCGCTGGACATTGTTCATCGCGATCTCAAGCCACAGAACATCCTGCTCACGAGCGCCTCGCCGCCGGCGCGCCCTGGCGCTCGCCGCGGCGAGATCGGCTACTACGGCATCAAGATCGCAGACTTTGGCTTCTCTCGGACGCTCAACGACGACTCGCTGACAAACTCGTTTCTCGGCACTCCTCTGTACATGTCGCCCGAGCTTGCCGATCATCAGGCCTACTCACACAAGGCCGACATCTGGTCGCTCGGCGCCATCGTCTTCCAGATGGCTGTCGGCGAGGTCCCGGTCTCGGCCCGCACCCAAGTCGCTCTCTTCTCCAAGGTCGTCAACGAGCCGCTCCGCCTGAACGAGCGCCTCACCGGCCGGGTCTCCGACGGCCTGCTGGAGCTCCTCCGCGACTACCTGCTTGTCAAGGATCCAGAGGCACGGGCCTCCATGGCCCGTGTCGTCACCTCGCCGTGGCTGGACATGGCTGCGTACGACGCCATCTCGGCCGTCCCGGCCCCGCAGCCGCAGGCCGACGATGGCCTTGCCCGACCGCCGGACTCTGGCCTGTTGGACAGCGATGGCGAAGCCGCCGCCTCCGCCATCGACATTGGCGTCCTGCCCGGCCCGTCGGACGTTGCTGTTGGCGGTGACGATGTGCTCGATCAACTGGAGCGCCGCATGCAGGCCGAGTCGCACCTCGGCTCGCCGCATCCGCCTGGCACCGCTCCCCGCCAGCAAATCCGTGTCAACGCCGACGAGGTCCGCGGCACCGCGCAAAAGACCTTGCTCTCCACAGACCCGTTCCGCCCTCTTTCCGGCGCCGCGCCTCCGCTCACATCGTCCAGCAACGCGCCGCCTGCCCCGTCCAACGACGACGAGTGGGAACTCTCTGACGAGTGGGAACTGGTAGCGGTGAGCGGGACGTCGGACGACGCCGACGAGGCGCTGCTGGCGGCATCGGGCCCGGCTGCCGTGCGCGACGTCTATCCGGATCGTCCGCTGGTCGAGTACTTTGCGCCTTCTGCTCCCGATGCTCAGCCGTCGCCTACCGCCGCTGCCGCTCTCCGCACCGCCGCCGCGATCGGCTCGATGGCGTCAGGCAAGCTCTGGTGTCCGCCGTGGGCCGGCGACTCGGCCGCAGTCGTGGCCACACCGGCCGCCGGCGTCGAGATGTTTGCCCGCTACGGCGCGGTCGTCGAAGAGCTCGCACTTGCCCACCGCATGCAGTCGATGCTCTCCTCCTCGCTCGGCCTCTACCTCCTCGCGCTCTCGTTCTACGCAAGTGGTGTCCGCGCCCTCAAGGCTGTTGACCCGGCCGGCGCTGACCCTGCGCCCGACCGGCGCCAGTGGATCTCGGCCTCACTCCGCGCCCGCTACCGCGACGCGCTCACCGCTGCCAAGGCCCTGCAGGCCAAGCTCGGCCTCGGCGTCGCCCATCCCGTTGCCGCGGTGCTGTACGCCGAGGCAACCGCCGCTGGCAAGCGCGGCGCCGCCGACGAGATCCTCGGTCATGCCAGCTGCAAGTCGGCCTACGCCCGCATGATCCTTCTCCTCGATGTCCTGCTCTGCGACTCGGAGCTCTCCGGCGACGGCCGCGCCACTGTCCACGCTCTTCGCCGCTCCGGTTTTGTTCGCCTCAGCGCTGCGCTCGAGCTTGCTGCCACCACTGCCGCCGACGCCGTCTCGTCTTCTCCCCCGACCGCTTGTCGGCCTCGGGCGGCATCGCCTCGTCGCCCTCCGACGACGGTTTTGACGACTCACTCGTTGCGCCGTTTGATCTCGACGAGAGCGGCATGGACGCCTCACTTGTACTCTTGGTGTAGACGACGACAAAGTCCCCCTCCCCCCTCCCACCCCCCTGTCTGCCTGCTCCCTGGCCACGCATACTACGATAGCTTGTGTCCCGGTAACAGGTCGCCCAACTCCGCCACATCCGCTGTCCTGCCAGTTTTCCTACCAACGTGCATTCTCCTCTCTCCGTCCGTCATCGTACGTTCGCCAACCCCCGACCCTCCCCCTCCCCCCCCTCCCCTAGCGGCGCGGCTCCCTCCCCTCTTCCCCACCCCACCCCGTCTCCCTTCTGAGCGCTATGTCATACACTCGTTCGTGCGTATGACAAAGTAGAAGGTGCATGATGTCAGCCAACAACAACAACTCATAGAACGACTATGTGACTCTGTGGTGGGTTGTGTGGTGTGCAGATGGCTTGGGATTCCAACCATGGCTACGGCCAAGGAAATGATGGATACAATGCCAACGACAACGGCGAGTACTACGGTGACGATGCGTACTACGGCGACAACAATGGCGAGTACTACGGTGACGATGCGTACTACGGCGACGACCAAGGGTACGGCGACGATGCCGGCTACGGCAACGACGGCGACTACGCTGGCGATCCGTATGCCAACGACCGGTTTGCCACCAAGCCGACACCGCCTGCGCGACCGGCCAAGCCGGCGCTGCCTGCGCGGCCGGCGGCGCGGCCGGCGCCTCCGCCGCGGCCGTCGGGCGCGGCGATTGCCATGGCCCCGCTCGGGACCAACACCCACACCTTTTCGTACGCCGACGACGACGACGACGTGCTGGGCACGCTCGGCATGGAAAAGGCACTCAAGCAGAGCTGCTGCACCAGGCGCCGCGCCATTCTGGCGACGACGATCACTCTCTGTTGCCTTGCGATGGCTGCAGGCGCGACGGTGGCCTGGCTCTTCCTGGACGGTCCGCTTGCTGCGGCCAACAGTGATGGCGGAGCCTCCGGCAACCTTGTCCCGTCACCGCCGCCGCCGCTCGGCGGCTTTGCGCTCCCGCCGCCGGCTCCGCCCGGCGAGGTCCACGTCGCCGAAGACCCCGGATGCAATTGCACCGTAGCGCGGTCGTACGACGGCAACCCGTGGGAGCCGACGCCGCGCAACGACCGGCCGACCACCGAGGTTGTGTGCGATGACTCGGCCGTCTGCCGGATCTTCTCCTCGGGCGAGGTGACGACCCGCCCGCTGGCGGTCCCGCCGCAGCTCGTCGACATGTCGACCCAGCGCCGCGTCGCCCGCCTGCTCTCGCAGGGCACCTTTGGTGCGTCGATGAGCGAGATCCAGTCGGTCGCCGCCACCTTTGGCGACGACGCCGCCGCCTGGGTCCTTGATCAGCAAGCCAAGCCGCGGACCTCTGTCCGCGCGTACATGCGCCAACGCGCCAACGCCCGCGTCTACCCGGGCGCACCGGCGCCTGCCGACGAGACCACTCCGTGCGACATCGGCTCGCGCTGGCACCGCTCGGTCTTTACCTTCCGTGACGAGCAGAAGAGGCTTGATGTGACCACCGGCGACGCACCCGGCCGCTTCTCGCTCTACATCGACGGCGCGCTTCGCGCCGAGCTCACCGAGTGGTTCGGAGAGGCGCACCCGGGCTCGTTCCCGGCCTCGACGTCGTACATGGTCCGCTGCATCAACGAGGGTGTCGGCGAGCGTGTCCGCCTCGAAACGTGGGGCACCACCTGGTCCCGCTGCTCGTCCAACTCGGCCTTTACCAACCCGCTCGCCCTCGACAACCCCGCCATCGAGTTTGGCAACAACGGCGCCCGCCTCCCGGCCGCCGCGCTCCAGACCGTCACCTCTGCCGAGGTCGACATGTCGCCAGTTGTCACCCCGCGGCCGGGCATCTTTGTCGTCACCCACCGCACTCCCGGCTGCACCGTCGGCGAGGACGCGGACGGCAACACGTTTATGCGCCGTGACGGCGTCTTTTACCGCCACGACAAGCGCGCCAAGTTTGTGACCAACACCATCGAGCAGCCGTCGTCGGTCTTTTCCGGCGCCACCGAGTGCCCGCTCGCGCCCATCAACTACCAGAACGCTCCGGGGTGCGTCATCCGCCCCGAGTGCGGCACAGGCCTCCCGGTCTTTGACGCTGTCAACTTTTTCCTCAACACCACTATGATCCGCACGTGGTACCTCGACGAGTCGGCCAACCGCCGCATCGTGTACTCGATGCGCAACCTCCGCCTCGAGGGCGCGTACGCCGTCTCGCCCTGCGCCGGCTCGCGCTCGCGCTGGGTCAACGTCGGCACCGCCGGCTCGTGCGGCGAGACGCCCGGCATCGGCGCCACCACCAAGGCCACCATCGTCAACGCGCTCACCACCACCGGCGACAAGGCCAACCCGCTCCTCCGCGACATTGTTCTCGTTCCGGGCGCCTCGTGCGACTCGTCCGACACCGCCACCATCGGCGCCCGCGTCGCGGCGGACGGCTTTTGCTGGCAGCATGTCCACCCCGACGAGTACTCGGTCCGCGACGCCACCCACTGGAATGGCGTCCACCCGGGCAACAGCGCCGCCGCCATGGCTGGCAATCCCAACCCGATTGAGCGCTACGCCCGCGACGGCGGCGCCGAGATTTTCTACCCGGCCTCGCATCCGATGTCGCGGTGGGAGGCCCACGCCGTCGACCTGCCGGTTGTCGGCCGCTTTGGCGACTCGATCCAGTTTGCCGCCCTCTCGCCACAGCTCCAAACCATCGCCCTCGCCCTCCGCGTCGGCGCTATCTCGGCCGCCCCGCTCGGTGGCGCTCTCGCCTGCGGCTCGTACGATGAAGTCGCCAACAACCCGCTCCTCGGCGAGCACTACATGTACTACGCCTTTAACGACAACCCCGAACGCCGCTTTGCCGAGCGCTCGCTCGACGCGCCCATGATCATGGAGACCACGACCGAGAACGTGCTCAACAACGTCATGCACAAGGCTGAGGACCAGCTCCGCCAGCGCGTCGCCTTTACTCTCTCCAACATCCTCGTTATCTCCACCGCCACCCTGCCCGGCCACCGCGAGAGGCCCGAGGGCTTCCTCCACTACTACGATGCCTTTACGCGCAACGCCTTTGGCTCGTTCTTTGACATTCTCAAGGAAGTCTCGTTCAACCGCTTCATGGGCGACTATCTGACGTACACCGGCTCGCGCTCGTACGCCACTCGCCAGTCGTTCCCCGACGAGAACTACGCCCGTGAGATCATGCAGCTCTTCTCCATTGGCCTCATCGAGCTCAATGACGACGGGACCCAGGTGCTCAACGACGCCGGCCTCCCAGTCCCGACCTACACCCAGGAGGACATTGTTGACTACGCCCGCATCTGGACCGGCTTTGAGGGCTACAACTTCCGCCGCAACGTCATCGACCTGCCGTCCGGCCGCACCGGTGTCGATCCCATGCGCATCAACGCCGTCTACCACGACCGCATGCCCAAGCTCGAGCTCGGCGCAAACGGCGGCTACCTCGGCGACACCTACCCGCTCTGCGACGAGCTCCCGGCTCGGCCGTGGCTCATGCAGGGCGCCCGCTACGATTACATCGGCGCTTCCTCGGGCGTCTCCAACTATGACTCCAACGAGTTCCGCATTGCGCAGTTCACGCCCAAGTCGGACGGCTCGTCCGGCATCTTTGAGGCTCTTTGCGGCCGCGCCGCTCCGGGCCTGCCCTGTACCTTCCCGGCCATGGTCGCGCTGCCTGCCTCGGTTCCGTGCTCAGGCGTCGAGTGCGACGCTGGTTCGGTCAACACCGTCAAGATTATTGACCCCATCGGCAACGTCACCAACTACTACCGCCACTTTGGCGTCCCGTGCGTTCGCCTCTCGCTCTTTAACGACGGCAAGTCGCTCTCGTTCAACAACCGCCGCGTGTGCGCCGACCCCGCGTCGCCGGCCGCCATGCCGACTTGCTGCGACGCGTCGGACACCACCGACCCTATCCGCAACATCCCGGGCCTCTGCAACTACATTGCCGAGTACACTGACTACGCCACTACCGAGGCTCGCTGCGCCGCCGCCGGCTACGGCCTCTGCGACCCGCGCTCCGACAACGGCTGGTACACTTGGACCTGCCACCACTACTCACCACAGTGGTCGCACGAGCCGTGCTCCGTCTCGGTCCAGGTCTACGAGTCGGGCCGCGTCGGCCTGGTCGACCCCATCGTGCCTTCGAACGAGCGCGTGCTGCAGAAGAACTCGAACAACGTCTTCCGCGTTCGCTGGAATTCTGACGTGCCTGTCGCCGCCGCCGACGGCTCGTGCCCGGCTGGCTGCGCGCCCGAGACCACGGCCGAGGGCGTCTCATGCATCTGCGCCACCCGCGTGGTCGAGACCCAGGTTTTTGCCTCGACAGCCGAGCTTGTCAACGCCACGCTCGCCGAGCTCACGTCCAAGGTCTTCCTCGGCTCTGCGGCACCGACCCTCTACCCGACCGGCGAGTACGTCGAGTGCGTGAGCGCCGAGTGCGCGGCCGCAGCTGCCTCGTCGGGCGTCCGCGTTTGGACGGCGGCTGCTGACGCTGGCGCCCTCTCGATGCAGACCATCTTTGCGCTGCCGCCGCGCCGCGCCGGCGGGCGCCCGCGCTACGTCCGCAACCGCCTCTCAACCGTCTTCCTCGGCGACGGCGACGCATACTCGTTCCGCAACCCACCGACGTTTATGCGCTTTGTCGGCTTTGGCGACATCACCTCGCGGACGTGGACCTCGCAGTACATGTACGCCAAAAACGCGTACGACGACGTCGACGCCCTCCTCGAGTCACTCGCCGAGCACGACTCGACCGGACCGTTCATCTGCTGGCGGCTCATCCAGCACATGGTGACATCGAACCCGTCGCCGCGGTACATGCGCTCGGTTGTCCACGCCTTCCGCACCGGCACCGTCGTTGCCGACGACGGCTCGGTCCGCACCTTTACTGGCAAGTATGGCGACCTCGGCGCCGCCGTCTTTGCCATTCTCACCGACCGCGAGGCCCGCGCGCCGGTCCTCATGACAGACCCCTCGTTTGGCATGGTCAACGACCCGTTTGTCTCGATCCACAAGGTCCTCCGCGCTCTCGAGTACGAGACAACCCGGACGCGCGAGCTGCAGATCATCACCGCATCGGTCATCGAGGTCGGCCCGCTCCAGTCACCCACGGTCTTCAACTTTACCTACCGGAGAACCAGCCGGCCGGCGACCTTCTCTCGCACGGCCTCTACGCGCCGGCCGCACAGCTGGCCACGCCGCCGATCATGATTGCGCTCCTCAACGGCCTGCACTCGCTCGTCGACAATGGGCTCACCAACTGCTACGATGGCTTTGGCACCTACCTCCGCACCTACTCGTGCAACTCGGATCCGTTTGCACAGGCCGACGGCCGGCTCATGTACTTTGAGAACGCCGCCGCCCGCCTCGCGTCGGTCAGCACTGCTGACATTATCGACGAACTTGGCCTGGTCCTCACCGGTGGCCGCCTCATGCGCGGCATGAAGACCGCCAACATTGTCGCCGCCGAGTTTGACCGCATCGAGGCCGCCAGCGACCGCGACACAGCCTTACGCCACGCAGTCAAGACCATCCTCTCCTCGCCCGAGTTCCACACCTCGTCGGTCGACGATGAGGCCGACGAGCCGCGCATCGAGACCGAGGACCAGCCTTCGCAGGGTCGCCCGTTCAAGGCCATCGTGTACGTCTTCCTCGACGGAGGCATGGACTCGTTCGCCGCCCTCGAGCCGCACACCTGCAACGCGGGCGTGCGCGCCGAGTACGAAACCGTCCGCGGCGACGCCTCGCTCCCGCTCGGCGACCTCCTCCCCATCTCCAACAACGGCGGCGACCCGCAGCCTTGCACCCAGTTTGGCATGCACCGCTCGCTCTCGGAGCTGCAGCGGATCTACAACAACGGCGACGGGCTCTGGTTCGCCAACATCGGCGCCCTCGTCGAGCCGACAACTATGGAGCAGTACTCCAAGAAGCAGGTCAAGCTCCCGGTCTCGCTCTTTGCCCACAACCAGATGCAGCTCCACGGGCGGACCATGGACGCCGACTCGGTCTCGGCGTCGGGCCTCCTCGGCCGCGTCGGCGAGGTCCTCACCTCGGCCGCCGGTGCCGCCTACAAGGTCGTCATGCAGTCGGTCCGCGGCTCGACCCGTGCGCTCTCGGGTACCTCGGTCCGGTACGACATTGTCGGCACCGGCTCGTCCATCGAGCGGCTCAACGAGCGGAACGAGCTTGGCGACGCTATCAAGACGATGCTCTCCAAGCGCTCGCGCTCGCCCTTTACCGACCTCTTTGGCGATGAGCTCGACTCGGCCGTCAACTCAACCGAGCGGCTCAACGCGCAGATCAACGCGGTCTCGCTCCTCAACCCGGCGTGGAGCGACTCGTCGTCGTCGAACAACCGCCGCATCAAGCGCGTGGCCGAGCTCATTGTCGCCGCCCGCGACGACGGCGCCGAGCGTGGCATCTACTGGGCCACTGTCGGCGGTTTTGACACCCACAACTCGTTCGACCTCGACTCGCTCTACGACGGCTTTGACAAGCCGCTCGGCCGCTTCGAGAACGAGATGAAGCTTCAGGGCTTGTGGGACGACGTCACCGTCGTCGTCGCCTCGGAGTTTGCCCGAACCCTCAAGAACAACGGTCAGGGTACCGACCACGCCTGGGGCGGCAACGCCATGATCCTCGGCGGCAAGGTCCGCGGCCAGCGCATCCTCGGCACCTACCTCGACCAGTTCACCGATGACGGCCCCTCGGTCATCGACAAGGGCCGCGTCCTCCCCACCACCCCGTGGGAGTCGCTCTGGAACGGCATTGCTCAGTGGTTCGGTGTCCCAGAGTCGGAGATGGACTACATTCTCCCCAACGCCGCCAACTTTGCCGGCCAGCTCCACACCCAGAACGACCTTTACGACCCGTAGCTGTTTACCGCTACTCCATGCACGGGGCGCGCCTGTAGATCCACACGGCTTGATCACAGCCGACCGACCCCGCCTTTGTGGATCTTTTTTGATAAAGTGCCCCCCCCCCCCCCCCC